GTTTTATTTATTTCTAGGAGAGAGAGAGACAGCGTGAGCAGGGGAGGGTCAGAGAGAGAGGGAGTCACAGACTCCGAAACAGGCTCCAGGCTCCGAGCTGGCAGTCAGCACAGAGCCCGACGCGGGGCTCGAACCCACGAACCGCGAGATCATGACCTAAGCGAAAGTCGGACGCTCAACCAACTAAGCCACCCAGGTGCCCCTGGAGAACTATTTTTTTTAAAGTGTCAGAGGTAGGGGCGCCTGGGTGGCTCAGTTGGTTAAGCATACGACTTCGACTCAGGTCATGATCTCGCAGTTTGTGGGTTCGAGCCCCTCATCTGGCTCTGTGCTGACAGCTCATAGCCTGGAGTCTGCTTTAGTTTCTGTGGCTCCCTCTCTCTCTGCCCCTCCCTCTTCTCAAAAATAAATAAACATAAATAATATTAAAAAAGTAAAGTGTCAGAGGTAAACTGTAGGGATGCAGAATCCACCTAGGGGAATGGGGGGGTGAGGGGGCCGCGGGTAAAGCCTCTTGCCAGTTTAGGTGAGCCTGAACTGGTGTGGTGCCTCCAACAGTGAACCAGAAGCTGAGAGCCACTAAGTTAGGAATCAGCAAAGCTACTTAGGCCATGGATGTTAAATGTCTAGAGAATGTCTCTGGACCGGCCCAGACTGTGCTAGTTAGCAGCTGGCAGTCACCAGCAGCCCACGTTGATGGGCACTTCCTCTTCAGTGCCCAGCCCTTTGCCATCAGTGGCTCATTCCAGCATCAGCCCTGCCCTGTGGGGCCTCACCTTCTCCATTTTAGAGGGGACTCAGACTGGCTAGCTTAGGCCACGCCAGAGACAAGTCCAGGCTCAATGTCCGAATCCATCCCTTTGGTGGGAGAAGGGAGAGTTACCCTCGCGTTGGGGGCTGTGCAGAAATCTGCAGAGGAGTGGCACTTTGTACCTGCCTGTGACATGCTGAGATCCATTCTGCTGTTGGCAGGCGGACCCCTCGAGCCCATACACTCATGTTCTTTGGGACAAAACCGCCCTTTGCTTGGGATGGCTGGGGAACCGTATCCTATCTAGTGACTGCTAGGGTATATTTTGGACAAGGGTGACTCATAAAGCTCAGGACTTGCTGTTTTTGGTTGACCGGTATATTTCCCTAGAGGAAGCTGGCTGCTTAAGAGGCATGAGATCCATTGGGTCACACTGCAGCGTTCTGGGCCACAGGCTGCATCCTGGATACCGTTGGAGATGGTGCTGGAGCGGACGGCCACAGGCAGAGCTGAGCACTGGAATGGCCCTGTTGCTTAGGGTCCACACAGTGGACCCGGAGATCAGGCTGGACAGGGTTTGGTTTCTACAGGTGCATTCCAAGAAAGAAAAAAAACAAGCAACGTGGGAAGGTCAGATTTGCTTAGTCTCAGGATATTTTTTGTTGTTTGGTTGCTGTATTGGTTTGGTTTTTATTTGTTTGTTTGTTTTGTTCTAAGTGGGCTCCATTCTCAGTGTGAGGCTTGAACTCACGGCCCTGAGATCCAGGGTAGCGTGCCTTACCAACGCAACCAGCCAGGCGTCCGGGTGTCCGGTGTTCTGGTTTTGTTTTGCGTTTGGCCCAGAGAACTCAGACACGTGCCGCCCGGCAGCTGGGGCTGCCTCATCCCAGCAGGCCTTCCACATTAGCTGTGGTGACGCTCTGTGCCTTGTTTCATCAGCACAGATGGCTGTTTGTGCCCTGCCTGGAAGGAGGCTTTTGTTTGGGTCAGCTTAGCTCTGGGGACTCCATCAAGATCTTGTATCCAGAGACCAGCTCTGTCCCTTTTTGAGTGACAGGTCTTCTCCAGCAGAGTCCGGCCGTAGATGCCACTTTCTAAGGTACAGGTGCTACCTTGGCTGCTGCCTGACCCATGACCTATCAGGGTCCACCAGGCCTCAAGTCGGGACCAACTCTTGTCCCAATGAGCTTCCCATTCTGTCCCCCCTCAGAGCCTTGGGTGAGGGCACCTGGTGGTGCCGGGAGGGCCAGAGGAGGGGCCCCCTCCTTGCAGACCCCACATGGGCAGTGTGCAGGCACTGGGTGAAGATGGGGAGTGAGGAGGAGGGAGCAAGTCTCCCCTCCTTTCAACTCTTGAGATAGTGCTCTGTGAGGGATGCGTCGGGTGACATGGTCCCCACCCCTGGGAGTCTGGCGGGTGCTGGGAAGATGGGACTCAGTGTGGCCACGGAGCTACAGCGTTCCTGCAGTACCTCTGCCCCCTCCAGCCCCGGAGACCACCCCCCGCACCAGCCGTCACCCAGCCTGAGGAGCTCCTGCCCTCCACCAGCCCTTGGCTGGCGCTTGGCCTGACTGCCCAGCCGCACCTGGTCCCATGGCCGGCCTTTGGAGGAGCCCATACTGCTGAGCGGAGCATGCTGGGCTTACGTGGCCAGGGCTTAGAGAGTGAGCAGCGTCCCCACCATCCCAGTGGTCAAGCCTGGCAGTGGGTTCCAGCCCTGGCGGCTGGCACATTAGGACATGTCCTTCGTGGGGACCCTCACAGGAACACCTAAAGTCTCATGGGAACCGGGCGCTAACAGTATCAGGGCAACAGGAGCAGGTGCCTTGGAGGATTGTTGCAGGCCCTTACTTGGGCTGGCTTAGTGTCGAGGGCTGAACATCCGGGACCTTCAGAGCTTTGGGCATCATCGGGACTATGCTGGTGCACACTCACAGGGTCCGTTCGGGCCAGTAGGGAACGACTGTCTTCTCTGGGGTCCCGTCACCTCCAACACTTATGTGAAAAGGGTGGAACATGGAGAGAAACTGAATGTGTGGGCAGTAAGTTCCTGCGTTGTCTCTTACCTGCCGCCTGGATCCAGCAGTTAATAGCACTGTCATGTTTGCCTCCTAAGTGGCTGGAACTCTTGAACCATTTAAAGTTAGTTTCAACCTCACGATGCCTCGATCCAGCGAATTTCAGTGTGCATCTCCCAGGACCTCCTAGGTAATTACACCCTTTCATGTCCGAGACAGCCAAGAGCAGCTGCATAATGCCATCTGCTCGCCAGCTCCTGTCTGTATTTTCCCAGAAGGTTATATTTGTTCTTCCTTTCCAGTGGGGATTTATACTTTGCATTTGGTGGTAGGTCTCCTTGTCTTTGTCTCTTTTAGTCTATTTTTAGTTTTCTTTTCTTTAAAAAAAATTTTTTTTTAATGTTTTGTTTATTTCTGAGATACCGACACACACACACAGCGTGAGCAGGGGAGGGGGAGACAGAGGGGGAGACACAGAATCGGAAGCAGGCTCCAGGCTCTGAGTTAGCTGTCCGCACAGACACCTATGCGGGGCTCGAGCCCATGGACCGGGAGATCATGACCTGAGCCAAAGTCAGACGCTTAAACAACTGAGCCACCCAGGCGCCTCTCTCTCTCTCTCTCTCTCTCTCTCTCTCTCTCTCTCTTTTTTAAAATCACACTGATCTCTTGAAGAGACCAGCCAGTTGTCTTGTAGGATGCCCCTCATTCTGTGTTTGTTAGGTGTTGTGGTGGCATTGAACTGAAGCCTGTGTGCTGGGTTCAGGTCCGGCGTTTTAGGCAGAACCCTGAGTGATCAGTGTTTCCATATCGTGGTTACAGTCTGGGCTCTGTCACCGGGGGACGTGGGGCTGCTGAACCTGGGTTGATGGGATAGGCTTTTTCTGAGCAGTCAGTAAATCCTGGAAATCCAGCAGGCGCTTTGTCAGAATCCAGTCTTCCTACCTGCCTCTGTTAACTGACCCAAAGAGGCCACTTCATCAGCAGCCTGGACTGAACATATTTCCTGATTTAAACATATATTTTTTTAATGTTTTAGTTATTTTTGAGAGAGAGAGAGACAGAGTGTGAGTGTAGGAGGCGCAGAGACAGGGGCACACAGAATTGGAAGCAGGCTCCAGGCTCTGAGCTGTCAGCACAGAGCCTGACGTGTGGCTGGAACTCATAAACCGTGAGATCATGACCTGAGCCAAAGTCGATACTTAACTGACTAAGTCACCCAGGCGTCCCTTTCCTGATTTTTTAAAAGAGTTGTTAGGAATGTGCCAGGCTGGTTTAGTCAGTGAAGCACATGTGACTCTTCATCTCAGGGTTGTGGGTTCAAGTGCCATGTTGGGTGTGGAGATTACTTAAAAAATTTTTTCTTTTAAAGGTGCCTGTGTGGCTCAGTCAGTGAAGCATCTGACTTGATCTCAGCTCAGGTCTTAATCACAGGGTTGTGAGTTCAAGCCCCACATTGGGTGTAGAGGAGGTTACTTAAAAACAACTTTTTAAGAATAAGAATGAAAGATCCTTTATAAAAGCAATAGGGGCACCTCAGTAGCTCAGTCAGTTAGTGTCTGACTCTTGATTTAGGTTCAGGTCATGATCTCAAAGGTCCTGAGATCGAGCCCTGCGTCGGGCTCTGTGCTGACAGTGTAGAGCCTACTTGGGATTCTCTCTCTCTGTCCCTACCCCACTTGGGAACATGAGCTGTCTCTCAAAATAAATAAACTTTAAAAAAATTTTAATAAATAAATAAAATACTTAGAAAAACAAAGAGTTATTAGCAGCTCATGACCCCTGATCTGAACTTCAGTGTACCTCACAGGCTTTCTTCCTGCCCAGAGTCTTTGTCTGCTGGGGAGGGGAGGGGAAACCACCGGGCCAGCAAGCACCACTTCCCTCTGGAAATCCAGCCCAGGCTGCCCCAGAGGGGCCTGTGAGCTCTCTGCAGTGGAGACACAGCAACGGCTGGGGGGGTGTAGGTGTCACTGCAGAGGAGCCAGGGGAGAAGCTGGCAGGCGTGGGGCACTCGGGGTCCTGGTCTGCAACCTGGGAGCGCCTGACGCCTGTGCAGACTGTTGTGAGGGACAGAAGTACTCTGTGCAGTTAAGACATCCGCCCCCACAGGGGATGGGACTAGTTTTCCTGTCTTGCTACCTCACAGGTGAGCAGGAAGAGGAGGAAATAACATGGGTGACAGGTGAGGCTGGGCCGCCCTCCTGACGCTGCTGCCTCCTGCCCTGCAGGTGTGAATGACAGAAGTGGTGCCGTCCAGTGCCCTCAGCGAGGTCAGCCTGCGCCTCCTCTGCCACGATGACATAGACACTGTGAAGCATCTCTGCGGCGACTGGTTCCCCATCGAGTAAGTCCAGTGGCGCCCGCCGCCCCCGGCTGCAGAGGGTCGGGGTGGGGAGCGGGCAGGGGGACACGCACATGCCAGCGCCCAAGCCCAAAGACTTGCTGCGAAGGCCGTGGTGGCCCAGGGTCTCCTTGCCTGTCGCTGGACCCCAGGCCTCAGGCCCAGCCTGCCATCAGGCTCTCTCCACCTCGCTGTGTCCCTTGTGCGAAGAGTTCCGCGCTAGGCTTTACTGAGAATCTTTAGCCGAAAAGACGTTGAGTGCGGTGCCGCTGATGATGCAGAAAACGGAGAAGCCGCTTAAGTGTCGTAACACGCCGGGGTCTGTGGCCACAAGTGCAGTGTTACTCAGCAGGGAAAACACCTGCGGAAGAGGTACACTTGTTGATAGGGCTTGTTGTTGTTGTTGTTTTTTTAAATGAGCTAAAAGTGAAAACACTAGACTAGAAAACAGCATGTATCCCCGCTGGACAGGATAAAAGCTTCTGAGGTCAAAACGCACGTAGTGGGTGTTTTCAGCGGTTTGGGGGAGGTGATGAGCCTGTAATGTGCTTGTGCCGCTGTTGTAGTGGGAGAAAAAGGTGCAGACTTTGACTTTGACAGGCTTCCGGCTGGAGGATAGGTAAGTGCCAGGGGTTAATGTACAGTGTGCGCACTGCTGCGTGTCACGTGAGGGAAGCTGTGATGAGAGTAAGTCCTGCGTTCTCATCGCAACGATTTATCATTTAAAAAAAAAAAACTTTGTAAAAATAAAAATGAACTAGATCCCGCATTTCCATTAGTCCTGCCCTCTGACAGCTTGTGTCGTCGGCTGCGGGCAGGGAAGGAGGGGAAGGGTGAGACCCAGCCTTCTAGGGGTGTGGGTGCAGCGGCTTCAGGGGTCACGGGGGCGCCTTCCTTGCACCCCGCAGTCCCTTGCATGGGTCAGACTCTGCACCAAGTGGAGCCACGCTGGGTTGGAGTATCTGCCTCTTTTTTTTCCCCCCCAATTTTTTAAATGTTTATTTTTGAGAGAGAGAGCGAGTAGGGAAGGGACAGAGAGAGGGGAAGGGACAGAGAGAGAGAGAGGGAGACACAGAGTCTAAAGCAGGCTCCAGGCTCTGAGCTGTCAGCACAGAGCCCGATGCTAGGCTTAAACTTGTGAACTGTGAGATCATGACCTGAGCCAAAGTCAGACGCTCAACTGACTGAGCCCCCAGGTACCCCTGGAGTATCTGCCTCTTTAGGTGCCCTGCCTGCCTGCCTCTCCTTATAGCTTCTGCACCCAAAGCCCCAGGTTCTAAAGATGGTGGAGCGAGCTGCAGGCCTGTGGGCTGTGTGGTGGCAGCTCCTTGTCCTTCCTGGCTGCCATGCCAGCCGAGCTCTCTGGGGTCAGAGGTTGACAGTGGGTGGAGGACCAGGGGAGGGGTGTGGGCGATGCTTTGGTCTCATAGAACCTGCCAGTGGTGGTCAGTGGCCTCTCCGCTGTGTCACCGCGAGGGCATGACACCCTTCTCCAGCTCTGGGCCTCAAGAAAGGCATCTCAGGGTAACCTGTTCTGTCCCAGGTTAAAAAATGAATGCACATACCTGTCAGCCCTCCCGACCGTGTCTCCTGGCTGCGCAGCCCAGCCTGCCTTTCATTACTGCCTCCAGGGCCTTTGCACTAAATGTTCTCTTTCCTGCTCCCCTGGGTGGGGGTCTTGGTGAACAGCCCCCAGCAACCCTGGCCACACTCTGCCCTTGAGGACTTGTCCCCATCACTGCCCAGGGAGGTGCAGTGAACTCAGATGCTATTCAGCTATGAACTTGGCCCACACTCTCAGTCTTGAAAATGGCTTTTAGAATTCTTGGTAATGACCCCAGTGTCTGAGGGCCATCAGGGGCCATCAGTCATAAGTCCTCCAGCTGCCCCTCCGTGTCCTGCTGTCGTGGAGAGAATGTCATCGGAGGTTTTTCCTCTCTCATCTCTTACGTGAGGATGGTGAAATAATTTTTCCTGTGAGAAATCCCCACTGCCGTCTAGACAGATTACTGCTTTAAGAAGACCATTTGGTGTACACTGAGTGGTGGACAGATTCCTTCTCAGCCGTGGAGCAGTGGGCAGAGCAGCCCCGGGTCCCCCATGGTTCCACTGTGGGAAGCCTGGCATCAGCGTGTTCACCTGACCTGGTCCTCCCCCTCAGGTACCCAGACTCATGGTATCGTGATATCACCTCTAACAAGAAGTTCTTTTCCCTTGCCGCCACCTACCGGGGCGCCATCGTGGGAATGATAGTAGCTGAAATAAAAAGTAGGACCAAGATACACAAGGAGGTGAGTATGTGTGATGAGGAGCTGGTGGTCCCCGTCGCTGACTGGGCCTGTGGGGGCTTGTGACTGAACCACGTGGCCTGCTCTGTGACCCTTTGTCCTGGGAGCCCAGACCAAGCGTGAGACTCGGGGGTGTACGTGGCATAGTTACCCATGCATTAAACAAAGCACCTAACCACAGACCTCATAATGGCTGTCATGTCAAAGTAGGGCCAGGTGTAAATGATGCCCTGAGAATCCCCGGAGTTGTCGGGGGCTCCAGATGGATCTGTGACTTGTACTGGCAGCAGTGTCACAGGAACCGCTACCTCTGCTGTGGCTGCTTAAATGACACGCTCACTTTCAGTTAGAGATTAGTGAACATAGAGAATTTCTTTTCATCCAGCTTTACCGACCCCTCCCTGATCTATCAAAGAACTCCTGGGGTCTGTGGGCCCTGCGTCCACAAGGTCTACTCTGAATGTAAAGTGCAAGGCCACAGCACAGACACATTGTTCCACGTGGTTGTCTTGGGTCAAGATTGTACCTAATAGTTTTGGTCACCTTTGCTACTGAGTAGTGTTTACCACGTGGGTATTTACTCCAAGGACAGGAAGGAACCCACTGACAGCCGGCACTGGTTCTCTGTGTTCAGCTTCAGGCTTCTTTAAAAGTACAAGAGGGACATCTCGCTTCTACAGACCTGACCCACTCGAGCAGACCCCGTCTTGCTCGTAATTAGATTCTGGCCAAGGTAGTTTATGTTAGGAGTGACTTTCCATCCCAGCTTCCTCCTGAGCTTTTTGCTTCCAGTTCGTCTTGCACGATGGTCAGATTCATGACTCTCCCGGCCCAAAATGCTGTCCCCGGAACCACGGAGCACGCATGGGTGGCGTGCCGTGTCTCGCTCTGCCTGGTGGGGGCCGCGTGAGGTGCTGGGGGCCACTCAAGCCCCCATCCCCTTTACTCAGAGACCACCTGGGGGGGCGGCATAGGATCTTTGAGACAAACCTTTTCAGACCTTGTCCAGCTGTCTTGTCCCGAGTGCCCGGTATGTGCCCACGCCCCACAGTTGCTCCCTTGTTACCGCTGTGATCTCGCACCCTGTGGGTCTGCCACCCCCACATGTCCCCGAGGAGCAGCTTTTTGTGTATGTCCTCAATTAAAAAAATTTTTTTTAATGATTTTTATTTATTTCTGAGAGAGACAGCATGAGCAGGGGAAGGTCAGAGAGAGAGGGAGACACAGAATCTGAAGCAGGCTCCAGGCTCTAAGCTGTCAGCACAGAGCCCGACGCGGGGCTCAAACCCACAAACTGTGAGATATGACCTGAGCCCAAGCCGAACGCTTAACTGACTGAGCCACCTAGGTGCCCCATGTGTGTCCTCAGTTTAGCTGTGTGCGCCACAAAGCCCTGCACCCTCTAGTTTCCATGTGTGTGTGTTGGGGGGGGAAGCTGTCTGTTATCTTTGCTCTGTCTGCCCCCCACCCCCCCGCCAGGGGTCATGGCAGGAGAATCAGCTTGTGGGATGTACCTGGAGCGGGACTAGGTGCCTCAGCGGTTAATCTGGTTTTATTTCTGACTTTTTTTCAGGATGGAGATATTCTAGCGTCCAACTTCTCTGTTGACACACAGGTTGCGTACATCCTGAGTCTGGGAGTGGTGAAGGAGTTCAGGAAGCACGGCATCGGTGAGGCACGGCCATGCCTGTGGGGTCTGGCGTGTGCTCCGGCCACTGTGTCCGGGCCTTTTCCGCGTGTTGGTGATGTGCCTGTAAATGTCCCTCGTCCCCCTGTCCTGCGTGGATTTCCAGCCTCCCACCCCTCCCAGCAGGTCCCCCAACCCCACCTCCACCCTGTTGGCCTTCACACCGTGCTCCTTGCACCCAGTTGCCAGATGCAAAGAGCAAAGGCCGTCTGGGTGATTCCTTCTTTCCCAAATCTAACCTTTATTTTTAAAGTTATTTATTTATTTTGAGAGAGGGGCAGAGTGTATGTTGGGGGGGCGGTTGGCACCAGAGAGATAGAGAATCCGAAGCAAGCTCTGTGATGTCAGCGCAGAACCTGGTGCGGAGCTCGAACTCCCGAACCACGAGATCATGACCTCAGCCCAAGTCAGAAGCTCAACCAGCTGAGCCACCCAGGCACCCCCCAAATCTGACTCGATCAGATTCACAACGCTCCCAGATATCCTTGTCAAGGAATGGGCACCTCTTGCCACACACACGGTTTATGTCAGGTCACGAGGTATTGCTGATTAATAGTAGAAAACATAATTGACAACCAGTCCCAGCTGCCATTTATCAGATGTGCGCCACGTGCAGGGGGCTGCGCCCCAGGCCCCTCTCCAAGCCCTCTGCTCTGCCCCAGGCCAGCGGGCAGCAGCCTCCTTTGGTGACTCAGGCCTGTCCATTCTACCTTTCCCTGCACTGGGGTTTGCACTTTGTGTTGTCGGGAAGGTTAGTGAGTCACCGCCACGGGCCCAGCCCCTGTGAGGAAACTGCCGGACCCCATCTGTGGTTCCGGATGCCACATAGTCTGCAGCTAATGAGCCCCATCTGGCTGTGGCATTCTACGGCCTTTACAGAGCATTATAGGAGTCATTTGTGATACAGTGGCAGAGATCTCTGTGGATCTGTGGAGATCTCTGCCTCCCGCTCCCTGCCTGCCCTGCCGTGCGCGACCGTCGCCCCTTCTTCTGCAGGTTCCCTTTTACTCGAGAGTTTAAAGGACCACATATCAACCACTGCCCAGGACCACTGCAAAGCCATCTACCTGCACGTCCTCACCACCAATAACACAGCCATAAACTTCTACGAAAACAGAGACTTTAAGCAGCATCACTATCTCCCCTATTATTACTCCATCCGAGGGGTCCTCAAAGATGGCTTCACCTACGTCCTCTACATCAATGGCGGCCACCCTCCCTGGACAATCCTATATCCTTTACTTCTCAGGGGTCAGGGATATGGCTCCCTAGCCATAAGGGTGGCTCACAGGGCCACGGCCCATGCGCCGGATGGAGCCACGTTGCCTTCACGACTCAGGAGGCCACGCTCCCAGGACATGCTATGGGTAGATCTGGTGGCACTCAGGGTTTCTGAGACTTCACCCATCACAATGTGTGGGCTTTAACCCTCTTGGCCAGCGATCCATGCATCTAACAAATACCGATTAGGAGCCTCCTTTTCCAGGTGCACAGGAGATACGACTGTCAACACAGCAGCAGGTCCCTGCCATCAGGGGTCCCGTGTGCCGGCAGGGGAGGAAACAAATAAGCTGAAAAGGATTGCTGGCTGTCTGCAGCCCTGAGGTTCAGACCTCCCTTTCCTGAGGCATGTGACCCAGAGCTGTGTCCCCCCTTCACCTCCCACACACCACTCCCTCCTCTTTTCACTCTCTCTGGGCTGGAACAGGAAGGAGGGAGGGCTGGAGGCTTCGTGATAGTCCCAGGATGTGGCTCCAGAATGCTCTGTGTGAGAACGAGCCAGCAAGCGATGGATGAAATGAGCAAGGCGAGGGTTTACTCACTTTACGGAGAACTAAACAGGAGGGAGAAGCGTGGCCCACCGGCCTGCAGGCTCCCGGTGAATGTGAAGACGGGTCTCTTGTGGCTGTCCGGGAGGTTGGCCCTGTGACCCCCTCTTTGTCTCAGGGCCCTGCCGTTCTGATGCCTGAGTGTGGGGGTGAGCTGGCAACGCTTGCTCTCCTCCCAGACTCTCCCCTTGGCACTCCTCCCTTTCTGTGTGCCTGAGGTCTGCTCACCTAGGAGGTGCTCTTGGACCCAGTGCCACCCTTCATTTCTTTGCACAGTGGAGCCCCTCTGGCTAACAAGGCTTCCCAGCGCCCTGTAGAGGCTTAGTGGGCTTTTGGTCTCCTTCCAGGATGGCTCCGTCTGCATGTAGCCCTGCAGGGTACCGTGTGGGCCTGCTGACGGTGCCGCCAGGGGCGCGTGGGCATGCGGGGCGAGTCCGTCTTCCTTAACGGAGCCGCACGGACTACATTCAGCACCTGGGCTCCGCACTAGCGAACCTGAGCCCCTGCTCCATCCCGCACAGGATCTACCGCCAGGCCCACAGCCTGCTCTGCAGCTTCCTGCCATGGTCCAGCATCTCCACCAAGGGTGGCATCGAGTATAGCCGGACCATGTGACGCCGGCTGGGCAGCCTCCGTCAGGCCCCACCCTTCGGCACCCCTCAGAACCCGCCTTCCCGGCCGTCTGACTTCTGTCCTCTGCAGAGGAGCTGGTGGCCGCTCGCCGGGCCCGTCGGCCTGCCCCAGCTGTAGGCCCGGTGCTACGCGGGCTCGGAGCAGAGCGTTGCGGGGCACGCCTGGTCTCTGACAGGTATGCTGCAGCACGTGGTGGGGGGACGGGGGAGCGGAACCCGGTGGCATGAGGGGGTGATGGCGCCAGGACACTAAGCCAGTGTTACTTTCAGCAACAAAACCAGAAGGGCCTTAATGGGCAGCTACTGCACAAGGATGTTGGGAAGTAGTACCAAGAGTTGAGGTCGTCTGACTAACTTCAGAAACTTCAGGAGGGAAAGCAGAGTCCTTGAACCCTTGGCCAGGACTTCCGTCTTTTCACTTCTGAACTATGTTTAAAAAAAGAGAATGTGTTCACATGGTTCAAATAATTGAAAAGGTACCAGAAGGAAGATCAGGCCCTCCCCCCACCCCCTCCGCCCCCAACCACTCAGCTTCCCTTCTGAGGGGCGTCCAGTGCTTCTGTGTCATGGGCGTGCTTCCCGGTCCACGCTAACGGCAGCCGGTGGTGGGGCCTCGTGACCAGGGCTGTGCTCATACACGGCAACTCGTGAGTGCCGTTTGTGCCTCAAGAGAGCTGGCCTGTGAGGCCACAGAGCCAGAAAAAATTATGGGGACTCCAAGGCACACCCCCTTCCACAGATAATCCTCAGGGTAGTTGGGTGGTGTGGGCCAATTCACATGCTCCATGGCCACCTGGGCTGGAATCCCCATCGGTGCCCTGATCTGTGTGGAGACCCAGGGGAGCTGGGGGCCCCAGGCCAGACGGTGCATGCTTGAGCAGGGCCTCTCCCTGGGGCCCTTCACCCCTCTTCTTTTCCCCTCTTCTTTTCCCACAGGCTCTTCCAGCTCTCCTTCCTTTTCTGGTAACCCCTGGAAACTGCTGGCTCTGCCTGTGCCCTGGCCCCACTGGGCAGGTGAGGTGCGGCAGCATCCACTGTGGTCTGTTCCTTCTGCTGCCCCCTTCCCCTCCAATGCCTGTTCCTTCCAGTTCCTTTCTCCAGAGCCGGAATGAGCTGATGGACGGGAAGAACCCAAGTGTTTTGGACAGACCTGACCCTAAAGACAGAGGAGCATCGGAACAACGAGGGCATGAAATAAAGGGAATGCCAGACCCTTGTCCAAAACCAGCTCACAGAAGCCTGGGGTTCAGGGAGCGGCCCCTGCGTCTTCATGGAGGGCTGGTGCATGGTGAGCAGAGCCAGGGAGGCTTTTCCTCCAAGCACAGAGCTCTGGGGCTCAGAACCTGACGTGAGAGCCCAGATCATGCAGCGGTTCCCCACAGCTCAGCTGGGAGGTCAGGTCCTCCAGCGGCCTCCTGCTGGGGGCTTGATACTGGCCCGGAGAGCACGGGGCTGCCCCAGCGAGCTGGGCTGAGGACAGGTCCCCCAAGTCCACGAGCTGCAGCTCGGAAAAGATGTCTGTCGAGTGGGACCTGGTCTTAGGGGCTGGGGGCTGTTGTGTGCCTTGTGGTCCCTCAGCCGCCCCCCTGGGGGGTTGCTGCCCCGGGGCAAAGACAGGAGAGGCTGTCAGCGCCAGGAGGTGCGCGCAAACATCGCTTGCTTCTGTCACCCTCACCCCCATTCCCCAAAGCTGCTTGCCGCAGACCCTGCTCTCCAGAGGAGACAGGGTGGCAGATCCAGGCCCGGCGTGGCTGCAGTGTCATGGAGCCATGGCGGCAGTGTGCCGGCCTGAGAGAAGAAGGGGGAGCAGCCAGGCCAGGGGGCCTCTGGGGCAGTCATGCCTCCTTCCCTCAGAACTGCACAGTCCGGGGCCACCTCGGCTCACGAGGTAGAGAGGGGTCCTCGAGATGAGGAGAAACCATGGGCAGGAGATGCACACTCCCTCCCTCTACCACCTCGTGACTGGCGGTGCCTCCCTGGGGAGAGGTCCCTGCCTATGCACTGACCTTGGCTTCATGCTGAGGCCCAGCTCAGTGTCCTCTGTAATCTGAATCAACGGTGATTGTGTGATTTTTATTTCTGCCCGGAGGGGTAAGGGCAGAGTCTTCTGGAAGGTTTTGCCTTGGACTTTCATAATTGAACTCAGAGGCCTTGCCCTGCCCCCTCCCACCCTGCCCCCAATCACTGCAGCGTCCAGCCCAGTGTTGAACAGATTGTAGTGTTTTTGTCTCATTACAAACAAATAAACAGACTTTAATTGGTTGCATCATGTCTTTCCAGTGCTGGCCTGGTACACTTTGGGCCCCACCTCTGTGGACTCAGCCCCTGTGGCTGAGGGCAGCTCAGGGACTGCTGGTCCACTGTCCAGTCCCAAGGTTGACTTCCAGCTAAAAGGGCCACTTGTTTTGTGTAATTTGCCAGAGAATGCAGTCCTGGGGCAGAGGTTCTAGAGCTGAGCGGCACAGCTGGGTTCAGCACAATCAGAAGGTCCTCAGCAGCTGCCTGTTGTTCCAGGGTCTCTGGGCAGCTCTTGGCTTCGAGCTGGGGCCTGGTTCTGCAGGTGACTCAACATAGTTGTTGGGTTGGGACTCTGGGCCAGGGCCGCCTGCCGCGGGAGCCTGGTGGGAGCCTGGGGCCGGGACACCCCATCATGGCAGCCTGTCGCAGGGCGCCGGTGTGTCCCAGTCCCTACTAGGCCAAGCCCAGGACCGGATGCTCCCACCAACCTCTTCTTGGGGCTTCTGGCCACCACAGGGCAGGGGGTCATGTTTGTCACTCCATTAGACAGAAGAGGAAAAGTGGTTCAAGGGCTGGGAGGTACCCCAGGGCTGCCCAGCAAGTGAACGATGGCCCTGGAGCCCAGCCCAAGTCTGGACCCTCCAGAGTGCATGTGCACTGCTCCCCGTGGGGTGGGCATCATCCAGACAGCCTTCCTTGGGGGCCAGGGCCTAAAGCATGTGCAGAGCTGGGTGGGTGGGGGCCTCTGGGATGGGGGCAGGGGGTGAAGCTCCCACAGGGACCTCTAAGCAGCACCTGCTGCTGGTAAGTCACCCTTGGGTTATTTGTGCCAGTGTATCCATCTGCTTTCCTCTGATGGGTCAGCTTCAGGAGTAAGTAGGTCGCTTCCTGAGGCCCCTGCTCAGTGTGTGGCCAGGTATCATTGTGCCCTGGGGGCCAGGGGTTCTGGTCAAGCCTTGCCTTGAGAACAGCTGTGCCTTCCCCGCAGCAGGTATTGAGGACTCTGTCCAATGGGCTGAAAGGGACTCCTGGCGGCCTGGTTGAGTGCTTTCTGGGTGTTCAGGGAATGGGGTGGGGTGCTCCAGGGTGCTCAGTGCACATTTCCACCAGTGTCAACTTGTTTGGGATGTGTCTTTAGGTCAACTCTGAGTCCCCAGGACACTAGGACTATGGCTTTTCTGTTTTCGGCCTGTTCTGTGTGTTTTTCAAGAAAGCCTTGGGAGCTTAGAGAAGACCCATGTAGATGTGAGCTAAGTGAGTTTTCTTTGGAGCCAGCTTGTCACTGTAACAGATGTCTCTCCTAGGGAAGAGCTGGGACTGCACCTCGTCTGCTATGACCTCACGTGGGGCGGCTCGACTGGGGCTAAGGGACCCGCTCCAACAGCGCCCAGAGCTTGGCCGTGACTGTGGCCGCGGTTCCCTCTCTGTGGGCTCTCCTGGGCTGACTTTCTTTCACATCATATAGGGGGGCTCCTCCCCCAGTGCACACACTGGAAGCTGCCAGGCCTCCTTCAGTCCAGAAGTGACACCACGTCACTTCTGCCACATTCTTTTGGTGAAGCAAGACCCAGAGCCAGTCCCACTTCCATCCAGGTGGGGACTACACGAGCGAGAATACCAGGACACATGCATTGGAGGCCACGGTGGCCACTGACCACATCCTGAGATCTGGACCTGGGGCAGCCTGTGCAGCCCTCTGAGCCCAACAGCTTCATCCCGAAGTGCGAGGATTGGGACCCTGTCTCCAAGGACCATATACTGTGGCTTCTGGTAAGGTCTCACTTCTGCCCAGTGCTTGAGACAGCCTCCCTAACATCTGTCTTCAGCAGTCCACCTGGCCTTGGCCTTCTGGGGCAGCAGGGAGCTGCCCTTTTTGTCACTGACCAGTGGTTCATCTGTTAGGTGGCCGTGTCCCTGTCCCAGTCCAGCCGGATGGTTCAAGCACCTACTCTCCTCAGTCTGGGGCTGCTGTCTGGCTGCTGCCACCTCAGGCTCCCACTGTCCAAGTCCACACCCAACCAGGGACCCGACTCTAGAATCTGCTGTCCCAGGAACCTACAAAATGTCCGAGAGTGGGACTGGGGTACAGGGGTGGCAGGGGCCCTGAGGGATTATTCCCCTGCATCTGGAAGGAACGCAGGTGTCCAGAGTGTCCTTGACATCATCCCATGTGGTCTGCCAGGAGCCCAAGGGGGACCAGCTCAGCCCTAGCCCGATGTGGGTTGCCAGGCCTGGAAGTCTGCCACGGGGGCATTGAGGTGAACCCAGGTCCTCCCATCCTGTCCCTACTGGGCTGAGTTCTAGTGATGTAGAGCAGAGGGTCTCAGCCAGAGTGATTCTGTACCCCCCTCCCCCACCAAAGGGGACATTGGACACTGTTGGAAGACACTTGGTTGTGACACTGGGAGGAGAATGCAATGGGAATCCAGTGGGTGGAGGCTGCCAGACATCCTATGATGCAGGGTCAGCCACTGTGACAAAGATCCAGCCCCAAATGAGCAGATGTTGAGACACGGTACAGAGGAGTCCAAGGTGAGGTGACTGGAGTCCAGCCCGGCAGGGAGAAGGGCTGTGCGCATCCTGCCTGGAAAGACAGGGTGGCCAGGGGTCCCCATGGAGCAGTGAACTCAGCCAAGGCCTGGGTGAGCGGTGGCATGGGGTTCAGGCGAACATCTCTGCCCAGGTTGGGAACTTGTCTTTCCTGGTACGCTCCCTGCGCATGGCCTGCTTTCGTTTGTCCTCTGCCGCCTTGGCCAGAATCCCATGCTTTGCGTGTAGGTCTGTTGAGACCTTGTCCGTCCGGGGAACCTCCCAGGAGTCTCACCCAAAGGAAAGTGTTCACTCCTCAACCAAGGGTGGGAGCACCTTGGGTCCTCCCTGGCACCAACCCAGAACTTTGCTCTCAATGCAGCTTCTGGCAGCTTCTCTGAGAGACCCTTCCTCTGCACTGACCTCACCACAGACAGACCCAGGAACAAGAAAGTGTAGGCCTTGGCTTTTATTAAAATTAGACCTGCGGGCCTCCCAGCCTCTTGGGAGCCCAAGCTCTGCTCAGCCTGGCCTTCCAGGTATAGGTGGCTGGCCTGAGTTGGAGCAGGCTGCAAGGGTTTCTATTTTTTTTCTGTTCCTCCCATGGGACCTCCTCCTCCCTCCCCGCTCCCCCCTCCCCCCTCATGAGTTTTCTTGAGGCCCAGGCTCTGGTCTGGGCAGCTGCTGGGGTATCCCTGTGGGGTGACTCCTAGTAGGAGCAGAGCCCTTCCTCTCTGGACCTGTCTCCTCCTCCTGAGCCATCCTTTCCCCTCCTGTCCCAAGCTGGGACAGTCAGCCCTGGCATCAGATCCCTATGGTCTCTCCAGAGCCCCGGAGCGGGTTCTCTTGCACAAGGGACATGTGGACTCCTCTGAGGCCCCCCATGACCTCTTGGGCCTGAGCCCCAAGCCTTCTGGGGGACCAGGCTGGGAGGAGGCACCCTTGGCTGGGTCCATGCTGGAACTGGAAACTGAGGAAAGTGGAGAAAGAGGAGTCACTTGGGGGCTGCTAGCCCGTCCTATGTCCACCACACCCCCCACCCCGAACTTGGCATTCTTCAGCATAGGAAGGGAGGGGCAGTTCCTAAGGAGAGCCCATGAAGGAGGGAGGAGGAAGAAGAACGCTTGTCTAACTCAGCCCCCTTATTTTACAAAAGGGCAAACTGAAAGTAAGTGTGGGACTGTAGGGGCGACGGTGGGGAGTTGTCCAAGGTCCCTCATTGAAGGCAGACCTGGGATAGGAACCTAGGAACCTTGGGAGTGAAGAAGGGCTCATCTGGGTCCATCTGAGTCCCCAACTGACCCTTCTCTGGGTCTTCCCTCCTGTCCCCAGCCCTGCCTCACCTGGATTTCCCAGGCTGTCCCTGGGCACTTGAGCTTCCAGAAGGATGGAGCAGTGGTTGTCACCTGGGCCCAGAGTCCGGTGTGGCAGGTCTAGGGGCCAGGCCATACCCTCAGGCCGTGGGAGGCAACTCCTGGCCTTGAGCTGGCCCAGCCAGTGGCTCTCACACTGGCCGGCGGGCTGCATGTGGCCCGGCAAGTAGAGACCCAGGCCCCGGAGGTGACGCAGCCGGAAATTCTTGGGCTTGCTTCCCTGGGCACTGGGGCACTGCTGCTGGACCCCCAGCCCCCCCTCGTAGATGTTGGGTGACGTGTCAGGATGGCTGGGATGTCCTCGGGCCCAGCTCACTGCATCTGCAGAGGGAAGAGGAGGAGGGTGGTGGCTGGCAGGCGGGGAGAACACAGTCGTGTGCTCTAAGATCAGCTCATGTAATGGGTTCCAGCCGCAGCTTGCTGAGCCCCGGCCTACCCGTCTGTCCAACAGGCTCAGTCCCCTACCTCCCGCCAACCCCCACCCAACATATTAATCCTCTTCCCTTTCCCAACCAACAGGGAGGTCTGAGAAGCCTGAGAGCATGGCACAAAGATCTCTTTCAGGATTTTCAAGCCCTTTCTACCACCCCTATTCCCCCCTATCCTAGAAAAAGCATTCCAGTGTCAGTATAGGAATTATACGGTGGGTCCAGGATCACACAGCCTAGACCATTGGCCATTCCCCTCTCCCAACCATGAATGTCCCTGAGACCACTCTGATGGCTTTGGGCCCGGGTCGGGACTGGAAGGCATCTCTTCTGCCACTCCTCCCTGCAGCCCTGCACCTTCTCTTATGCGCAGCTCAGAGAACGCACAGACCAAGGCTTCCATGGAGGGCCAGCGTGGTGGGGGAGGAGCGGCTGGGCCTCCTGTGCAGCAGGGCTCTGCTCTGCCCTGCCTGGGTCTGCAGGTCTCCCATGGCAACCGGCTCTGTGATGTCAAACGGAAGACTCCCAGCCTTCCTGGAACCCCAGGTTTGGGAGAGGATAATGCCCAAGGTAGAGGCAGTGTGGGTGGAGGGCAAGGGAAGGGGGTGGAATCTTAGGGGAGGTCCCTGATCCTCTGATTTGGGACAGGCCACAGAAAACAGACTCAGCTATTGCTGGCTGGAGGGGCACTCTCTCACTGACCTCTTGGGGGAGGGGGTCCTCAGTTTGCTCATCCGTGGGTGGGAAATGACTTGGTGAGATCTGAGCCAGTGCTTTGAGCCTGCTGAGAAGGTGGTTTGGAGTGGCTGCACAAGTCACTTAATTGTTCTAACTGTCCATTGCCCTGTAAGTTGATTATGGGGTATCATATGGGTCATGCCAAGTGTAAGGAAGGATGTGGAAGAACTGGGCCCCTTGTGTACTGCGGGGGGGAATGTAAAGTGGTATCCCCGCTTTGGGAGACAGTTTCTTCAAAAGTTAAACTTTTTTTTTAAATGTTTTATTTATTTCTGAGGTGGGGAGGCAGCATGAGCAGGGGAGGGTCAGAGAGAGAGGGAGACACAGAATCTGAAACAGGCTCCAGGATCTGAGCTAGCTGTCAGCAGAGAGCCCGACACGGGGCTCGAACCCACAAACCGTGAGATCATGACCTGAGCTGAAGTCGGACGCTCAACCGGCTGAACCACCCAGGCGTCCCCAAAAGTTAAACTTCACACTTCTCATTCACAGATAGGCTCTTTCATATAGGGAAAACATTAATTCACATGTAAAAAGACAAAACCTATTTGGATAAAACCATTAGAGATTAAAAAAAAAATTTCAACTCATTAGTTCCAGGACACAAGATCAACACACAAAAATTGTTATTTTTACATACTCACAAAGAAAAAGAATAAAACAGGAATAAATGTAACAAAGGAGGTGTTAAGACATACTAAAAACGACAAAACTGCTAGAAAAAAATTTAAAGGGCCACACACACTCAACACATATATATCCTCATTCATGGATTGAAATTTTAACCTGGTTGAGACAGCAACACTCTCCAAAATGATCTACAAACTCAACGCAATCCATATCAGAATCCCAATGGCCTTTTAGGCAGAAACAGGAACGCTGATCTTAAAATTCATGTGGAATTATAAGCCAAATAAAAACAATCTTGAAAAAGTTTGAAGATTCCTTTCCCATTTGTAACACTTACGACAATGCTACAATAACCCAAACAGTGTGGAATTGGCATAAGGACAGACATCTCAACCAATAGCATAGAAAAGAGTCCAGAAATAAAGCTACGCATCTATGGTCAATTGATTTGCAACAAGGGTGCCAAGACTTCAATAGGAGAAAGTCTCTTCAACAATGGTTCTGGGGGCGCCTGGGTGGCTTAGTCGGCTAAGCGTCCGACTTTCGCTTAGGTCATGATCTTGCAGTTCGTGGGTTCGAGCCCCGCGTTGGGCTCTGTGCTGACTGCCAGCTCAGAGCCTGGAGCCTGTTTCAGAGTCTGTCACTCCCTCTCTCTCTGACCCTCCCCTGCTCACGCTGTCTCTCTCTCTCTCCTAGAAATAAATTAAAAAAAAAAATTAAAAAAAAAAAAAAAAAAAAAACAATGGTTCTGGGACAACTGGATAGCCAGATGCCAAAGAATGAATTTGGACCCCTACCTCACATCATTTACAAACATCAACTCAAAATACAGCAAAGACTTAAATGTAGGAGCTAAAACTAAAACTAAAGAAAACACAAGGTCAATTTTCATGACTCTGGAGTTGGCAGTGGTTTCTTAGATACAAAAACAAAAGCACAGCAACAAAAGAAAAAATAGATACACTGGACCTTGTCAAAATTGAAAATTTGTGTGCTCCAAAAGTACTATTAAGAAATGGAAAGATGGGTGCCTGGGTGGCTCAGTTGGTTAAGCGTCTGACTTCGGCCCAGGTCATGATCTCACAGTTCGTGGATTAGAGCCCCGCGTCGGGCTCTGTGCTGACAGCTAGCTCAGAGCCGGGGTCCTGTTTCGGATTCCGTATCTCCCTCTCTTTCTGACTCTCCGTTATTCATGCTGTCTCTCTCTCAGAAGTAAATAAAACATTAAAAAAAATTAAGAAGTGAAAAGACAGACTACAGAATGGGATAACATGTTTATAAATTATATATCTGATAAGCACAGTATCCAAAAAATATAAAGAACTTATAAGCTCAACAGAAACCTAATTTGAAAATGGATGAAGAACTCGAATAGACATTTCTTCAAAGATATACAACTGGTTAATAAGCACATGAAAAGATATTCAACATCATTAGTCATTAGGGAAGTACAAATTTAAATGACAGTGTATACTACTTTATACCCATGAGGATAGCTATTTAAAAAAATGAAAATAGCAAGTATTAATGAAAATGTGAGAGAAATTAGAACCCTCTTACACTATTGGTGGGGATGTAAAGTGGTGCAGCCACCGTGGGAAAACAGTTTAGCAGTTCCTAAACAAGTTAAATATAGAATTACCATACGCCTAGTAATTCCACTCCTTGGTATATAGCCCAAAGAACTGACAATAGGTTATTTATTTATTTGGGGGGAAGTGGCATAGAGGAGTGAGAATCCCAAGCAGGTTCTTATGAACTGTGAGATCATGACCTGAGCCGAAATCAAGAGTCAGATTCTTAAAACTGACTGAGCCACCCGGGCACCTCTAGTTTTGCTTTTTTAAAGCTTTTTAAAATTTTACTCATGCTTATTGAGATACAATTTTAGATATGGTAAAACTGACTTTTTTGTGTGTGCATAGTTCTATAAGTTTTGACAAACACCTACTGTCATGTCATACATTTAGCACCATGATCAAGATATAGAACAGTTCCATCACCCTCCAAAAATTCTTTTGCACCTACCTCCTCCTGGCAACTGTTGGTTTGTCTTCTTAACCAGACTGTCAAGTAAATGGAATCACAGTACGTAGCCTTTTGGGTGAGGCTTCTTCCGGTTAGCATTAGACATTTAAGTTTCAGCATTGTCTTCCTGTGTATCAGCAGTTTGTTTCCTTTTTTACTGCTGAGTGGTAATTATACGGATGTACCACAGTTTGTTTATCCATTCATTAATTGAGGGATGTTCACTTGAATGGTTTCGTTTTGGGATCAATGTTTGTGTACAGTTTTTTGTATGAACCTGTTTTTTGTTTGATTCTCTTGAGCAGATACTTAGGAGTAGGATTACTCAGCCATATATATATATGTATATATTTTATATATATATTTTAATGTTTATTTATCTTTGAGAGAGAGACAGACACACAGAGCATGAGCTGGGGAGGGGCGGGGAGAGAGGGAGACAGAATCCAAAGCAAGCTCCAAGCTCTGAGCCGTCAGCACAGAGCCCGACCTGGGGCTCGAACTCACCAACTGTGAGATCAGGACCTGAGGCCGAAGTTGGCAGCTTAACTGACAGCCATCCAGGTGCCCCAGCCATATGTTAAATGTATATTTAATTTTATAAAAAATTACCAGTTTTGCAAAGTGGCTGCACTGTTTTAGATTCTCACCATAAAGGTACAAAAGTTCATCACGTTGCTCCACATTCTTTCAAACCTTTGGCACTGTCAGGGCTTTTGTTGTTTGTTGCTTTAACCATTGTAATAACTGCCTAGTGATATTTCATTGTAGTTTAATATGCATTTCCATAATGAGTAATAACCTTGAGCATCTTTTCATTTATTAGTTGCCATAGATTTTCTTTTGTGAAGTATCTGTTTAATTTTTTGTCTGCTTTCTAACTGGATTGCTTTCTTACTGATTTTGAGAGTTCATTATGTATTCTGGATACAAGTCTGCCTATCACATGTGTTTTGTGAATATTTTTTTCTAGGCCATGGGCTATCTTTTAATTTTCTTAAAGTGTCTTGAAGAGGAGTTTTAAATTTTGCTGCAGTCCAGTTTATTATTTAAGAAATCACGTGTTTTTTTTTCTTTTTTTTAAGGATCATACTAATGGTGTATCTAAGAGATTGCTTAACAAAGTCACAAAACGTTTCCCCAATATTTTCTTCTAGAAAACCTCTAAAGATTATAAGCTTTACATTTAGAGGAGGGGGAAAAAAAAAGGCTTTACATTTAGGAAAAAGCGGAAGTTCATTTATTTGCAGATAGATACCCACCTGTTCCAAAACCATTTGTTTAAAGACTGTCTCTCTCCACGGAAGCGCGACCAAGTGTGTGGGCTGTATCTCGGGACTCTCTTTAAGGTCGGAGCGTTTGTGCGTCTTCTCCTTCCTCCACACCGACGGGGATGAGGGCGGCCAGTGGGTGGCACTCCCTCCTCTCGGCCCGCCGTTCCGGGCTCCGCACGCTTTATTCACGTCCCAGCCCCTCTCGGTCGCCTGCCTACCACCTTGGCAGCCAGGCAGGACTCCCAGCGGAACCCCCAGCGGGCCAGGCCACGCGTCACGCGCAGCCCTCACCTCGCAGCCCCACACTCCCTCCACGGGCCTACGACCATGCCCACGCCCCAAGCACCACGGCTGCCAGGACAATCGCCGGCGGACAATGACCAGGGCCATTTTCCGGCCTGTTGTGCAGCCCGAGCCAGCTGCGCATGCGCGGTCGCGGTAGGGCCGCCTGTCGCCACCCAGCGGTCAGCCTGGGTTTTCGCTCACCTACTTCCCGGGCCCCGCCCCTTCATGCCGTGGCCGCTACTCAACGGCTTCGGTCGCCGGCGAAGCCAGCAAGTTTACCCGTACCAGAGAGAAATGTGCTGGGCACAGGACCCAGGAGGGAGGCCTGGCTTCGTAACATCGTACATTTTGTCTAGAGGAGTTGAGGAAGAAATGTGAAGCAGTACGTAGAGCGCCTAGTACAGTGTCAGCACCTAGCCGGCGCTCAGGATGTGTCCGTCAGTGCCAGATGTTTATTTGCAAAGTGTGTGAAGGGTACGCAAACGCACAGCACGCAGCATCTAGCCGCGACCAGGATCCCTTAGCGTCGTCCGACGCACTCGGCCCATCGCCCTCTCGCTTGCGCATGCGCGCGCCCGCGCGCCCAGGCCGTTTCCGGTCCAGCCCTATTTGGCCCCGGCCTCCCGCCGTAGAGGGTTGGCTGCGTTGCCGTAGAGACTCGTGAGCGCTGAGGGCGAGTGCCTCGGACTCCAGGCTGCTGGGGACCAAAGCGCCATGTCTTTCCGCGAACTCCGCAGTAAGGCAGCCCTTCCCGCTGTCACCTGCGGGTCGCCGGTCCGCGGCTCGCCCCGTCGGAACCCCCTCTCGAGCCTGTGCGGCTCAGGGGCGTCTCTGGCCGCTGCCGCCTCTCAGGCTGGGCGCCTCAGCCCTGTCTCTGCCTTCTGCGATGGCGGAGGGTTGTGTGTGTGCCCGTGGCCGCGCGAGGCTAGTGCTGCTGAGGCTAGGTGTTAATTTTATCTAATTTCAGAGATGGGCCTGCTCTTTGCCGTATTGGAAGACTCTGAGAGGTTTTTGAGTTGGGTTAGCTTAAGAGTTCAGAAAACCAAGGAGGGGACTGGTGATTGATAATAGTTGCAGCTGACCTAGTTTGAGTTGTTATGATCGGCCAGGTAGTTCCTGTTCTAGGAGTGTGCATCGTTTCATTCACTCCTCGGAACTACTCTGTGCTCCGGTATCTAGGAGGAAACGGGTAGCGAGGTCAGGTAACTCGGTCAGAGGACACAGGCGGTGAGAGCTGGCGCTGGAGCTTGAATTCAGGTTGTCTAACTTGCAAAGCCTGCGTGCTTCCTAACGGAGCTGGTGAGGAGAGGAGAGCCAGACGCCATTGCTGGAACGGCGGGAAGTGGAATCTGGATAAGAGAATTAGTTTCTAATTCTTTGGGAGCACCTGTTACACACCAAGCGTTTTACATTCAGTACCGTATTTTAGTCCTCACTTTGGCAGTGAGGTAGGTAGCGTAATCCCGGATGAAATACTTTGAGGCACAGAGAGGGAAAGTTGATTGTTTTCAGTCACACAGCTAGAACTGGATGGAACCAAGGATCCAGACTTGGGACTGTATGAATCAAATTCTCTCGTCTTTTATGCACCACCATTTTCTGAACCTGAAGCAGTTTAGCAGACTGGTTCCACCTGCAGAGGTGGAGCAGGTGATTGCCAATTTGGTGTGACCTGGGATGAGTCTTTATTGCGAGTTTTCTAACCGAATTGCTGGAAATGTCACCATAACAATAACTCCTTTCAGTTGTGAATGGAGGCATTGTATTTTATTGACACACCTAGTAGCACCACAGCGTGAATCACGCCCTCCGGATTTGAAGGTTCTTGGGGACTATTTGTTGGAGAGACCAGTTTCTCCTCCCTCACAGTTAGAGGCTGACACCAGCATTCTGTTAGGGGACACTCAATGGGGTTGTGTTGGGAGGGGGATATTGGAAGGGGATTTCTGAACATTTTGACCTTAAATGAATGCCAAACATTTGTGCAATTTATGGTAAGAGTCTCAGTCAAATGCCCTCCATTTTTCAGAATTAACCAAACTTGACTACTCAATGGGAGGACGGATTTGGGCAATTCCTGGCTGTGTGGTGGGAAGACTGCTGCTTATTTACCGTCACTCTGTTCACATTTCCCAGAAAACCGTGACAGAGGTCCTCTGTGCCTTTGCTCTTTGCTTTGCTCGTACCTTCTCTTCTATCGCCTGGCGAGATCCAACCTAACCTCCAGTGCCCAGGAAGCTTGTTTGTGAATGTCGCTGGGATATTTTGAACCTTCAGGAAGAGCGAGGACAGGCATTCCATAGCCAGAAGCACACAGAATGTAGACCTTGGCACATTGTGGAAATGCAAAAAATGTTTGTTGTGTCCATTTTTGCATTCTGCTTAAAGCTCAGTGATCAACCTCCAGTTTCAACAAGTATTAACCTTTAAGATTTGGGTTATATAGAACCTTAGTCCTATATGCTCACTAAAAAAATAAAGATAAAAACAACTCCAGAGTAACTCAGGTGAACTTCTGTCTACCACCATCACCCCTGAACATAACCACTGTTAAGGTGTAACATCTTTTTTCTTTATGACATTGTGTAAAGCCAGGTCGTTCTCATTTTGAGTGGTGAAGAGAAAAATACCTGAGAGAAATGACCTATCAAAGAGAGAAGTTCACAGCCAGTGCCTAAACCCTATTATAATGTATAGCTTTTACTTTTCCCTCCCATTGAACTTAAATGTTTTTCAGGAAGCAGAGAAGGTATTTTAACTTTCATCTCCTTTTTACTTTCCCTCTTAGAGAGTTGATAAATAATCTCTAAAACTGTCAGTATGTTGAATAACCAGGGAAAGCAAGGGAAGTATCTTAATTTAATTAGGGGAACTGACTGAATTGTATTTTACCTTTGGACAGATTTTACAGAGATGATGAGAGCCTTGGGATACCCCCGACATATCTCTATGGAAAATTTCCGCACACCAAATTTTGGACTTGTGTCTGAAGTGCTTCTTTGGCTGGTGAAACGGTTAGAACTATACTTTATTGAGGTCTCAGAATGAATACCACATTCCATAGCTACGAAGAATAGGATACTGTTGTGAACTAAAACGAAGAATTCAATACATTTTTAGTTTGACAGACTCCTTTGTAACCTGATAAAAGTCAGTGGAGGAAGAAGGCTCTGGGAAAAGGGAATATACCAGGCAGGCAGTGGTAAAAGGAGATTTCTCAGTCAGAAGCATCCACGGGGCACAGGTCCAAGCTCCTCTCCATGCTCTCACCCCCACGAGGGAATGATGGGGCTCTCCACACACTCTAATGAGTACTGGAGTAGGAATTACTGAGATTTAAGTTTCATTTTCTGTGAAAAATCTAATATGATTCAGGGTTGACAAACTTTTGTAAGGCGATTGTGACTATTTTAGGTGTTACAGGCTACATAAGATCTTTGTTGCAAATTCTTACATGTGTTTTGTTTGTGATAATCCTTTAGAAGTGTAAAAAACCTTAGATGCAGGCTGCATAGAAAGAGACCCAGGGCTGCGACCCTTGACCCCTAGTGGGTGGTCAGTAACACCTGTGACTCCACTGCTTGTCAAGCTAATACGTTAGCCCTGTGTCAAGAGCTGCCAGCCAGAGTAGTAGTTCTGATTATTTTAATTAACCTTTGAGGTCTGAGACATTTAATTTTGTAAACTGAGCCCCAGATTTGATTTTTGAAATCACATACATCTGTTCTTAGGTGAGGATTCACTCCTTTGAGTGTTTAGCATTTTTTGCTACTTTTGAGTTCTCTCTTAACCCTACACCTTGGCTGGGGGCCCCAGAGAGCTTGTCGTCACAGATCCCCTCAGCTGCCTGCTTTCTCTTTTGTTAACTTTCTACTTAATTAACTTTTGTCTTTTCTTTCTGTGAAAGGTATGAGCCTCAGACTGACATCCCTTCAGATGTGGAGACTGAACAAGACCGAGTTTTCTTCATTAAGGCCATTGCCCAGTTCATGGTGAGTTCCCAGCTATTTGATGGAGTGGTAATACTAACTCCTTTGGACAGGAGTCCTCGGTAGGGCCGCTTGCAGGTTTCTGACTCAGCCCATTACCAGGTTTCTGTGGAGCCATTTCACCAGCACAGAGTTTGGGGGTTTTGTTTTTAATTCATTATCTGTTAAGAATTCTATTTCATTAGTTTTCAGTAGGTAATATACGTCATGGTTCAAAATGTTCTTAAAATTTGAAACAGTAAAATGACTTTTTTTGTCCTGTGTGCCGTTGACCCAGTTCCACCCCCAGTCCTATCTTCCAGAGTTTCTTTATGCATAGGTAAGCAAATAAAATATACATTCTTTTCCCTTCCTTTTACACAAATGGTGGCATACGGTACGCTACTGCTTAGGATCTTGCTTTCTTCACTTAATGGTATGTTTTGGAGAACTTGCCAAATACATATACAACTTTCTCATTCTCTCTCATACATGAGTAGTATTGCTTTCTTGGATATACCATGATTTATGTAGTTTATATATAGATAGGCATTTAGATTGTGACTTTTGCTCTTTGAAATAGTGCTGTAGTGAAAAACCTATACATATCATTTTCTTTGTCACCGTGTCCCTAGCATAAGTCCTTAGGATTGGAATTGCTGGGGCGAAGATAACCTACATTTGTAATTTTACGGTTCTTTACCAAATTGCTTTCCATCCAGATTGCATCCGTTTATAAACCCACTTGCAATGCTTGAGCCATATAAAAGTTTGGCTCTTCATACAATCAGGTTATTGAAGAGAGATTTTCAAGTTACCTACGTAGGATTTGATTTAGATTTTACCTGGAAAGGGCCTTAAACTCTTACTATAATTTTGTCTGAAAATAGGCCACGAAGGCACATATAAAACTCAATACCAAGAAGCTTTATCAGGCAGATGGGTATGCAGTGAAAGAACTTCTGAAGATCACCTCTGTCCTTTATAATGCCATGAAGACCAAAGGGCTGGAGGGCTCGAAGATAGGAGAAGAGGACATCAGCAAATTCAAGTTTGATCTTGGCTCAAAGGTAAGGACTGTGAAGGGCTCCTGGTGAGGGACAGAATACTTATTTCTTAGAGTTCTGAAATAGAACATGTCAGATACTCATGGCACCACCTCTTTGCTTACTCCTTCACTGAGAGCAGTTTGTCAGTTTTGTGCTCCTCAGCATTTGAATACAAACAGAAGTCACAGTATTTAATCCAGCTACTTACTGAAAGCCCGCTGTATGCCAGGCACAGTTCAGATGCAGGGGATACAGCTGAATTAGGACCGAAATCCACTATTCCTGTGGCTCAGTTGGGGATGCCAGACTAAACCACAAAGCAGAAGGAATGGCGGGTCAGAGGTGACCGATGTGTGGGGAATTGCAGGGGTGGGAGGGCTGGGGCAGGTATCTTCATTAGGGAGATGGGATAGGTGCCATTCAGCAGAGATCTGAAGGAGGGATGGGGCAGGCTGTGCAGAGGAGTGGGGAGCATCCTCTGAGAAAAGTCTGATAAAAATGTGGTTTAAGCCTGAGAACTGGGAGCGGGTGGTGACAGACCCCGCCCTGTGGCGCCTGCACAGCCACTGTACCGACTTTGGCTTTTACTCTGAGGGGAAAATCCATTGTGTTTTGAGCAGAGAAGTAAGTGATTTGAAATTTTGTGTTAAAAGCATCACACTGGCTGTTAAATCAGACTGAGGGGGGAGGTGAGGGTGGAAGCAGACCTGTTACAAAGCAAAAGATGACAGTGACTTTGAACCAAGTGGTGACATCAGGGGCTCAGCTGAGTTGGCAGGGAGCTGAGCCAGGCATTGGAATCTTGGTTAAAGCAGCAAGTCAAAAGTGAAAGTTAAGTCTTGAATCACTTACTGTCATAGTTTGGGCAAGGGGCTAAAAGCAGAGGAAGCATCACCCCACCCCGACGCCATTCCTTTTTCTCCCAGGAGATGGCACACCGGTCAAGGGGTTGTCTCCTGAGGGAGCTCTGAACAAAAGGTTCTGGCAGTTTCTGCACCCTGAGGTGGGGGAGGACCCGGAGTGGGAGAGTGGTGGCTGCTGGGTCAGTGAGGGAGTGTCCTCGGGTTTTTTCCCCAGCTCTCCAGCAAGGAAGCCTTGGAGGCACCGAGAGGACCTCTCAGCTCGAGGCTACAGATAACTAGATCTGGGAGGGAAGGCGCCAGGGCTAGGAAAGCTGATAGTTTATAGGAACTTGGATGGGCCATGGAAAACCTTGGTGGGGTCACCCGTGGTCAGGCCGGAGAAACTACACCTAGGGTTTTAACCAGGAGCCACACACCTCCATGGAAAGAAGTGGCCGGAGGTTAGAACCTAATTTGAACGTGGATCTTTCAGGCTAGGATGTGAGTTGAGAGAAAACAGACAATGCAAGGAGATCCTACAGCCACGCTGTCCAGTAGAACTTTCTGTGATGGTGGATGTGTTCTTTATCTGCGCCGCACAGTACAGCAGTCATAGCCACGTGTAACTAACACAACCGAGTGGGTTCAAAATTTTAGTTATTTATGTACTTATTCATTTTTCTTCCCTCATTTTATTTAATTTAAAATAATTTAACATTGAAAATGGCCACATGTGGCAAGTCCATACTGTATCAGACGTTGTAGCTCTAAAGTTTTTGGTCTGAACACCGGCACGGACCAAGTTGCTGGTTACTGAAATGGAGGGGAGCGTGGAAGGAGCGGGCTTGGTGGGAAAGGGGGGACGCTTGATTTGGAACATGTTCAGTGTGAGGTGTGGGCCTTGGGTCATATATGGCGTTACGGCCAGAACTCAGGAGGGGGTGTGAATAGCGAACACTTCGGGGGACCGGACTCTGATGTGCTCCAGGCCCGGGAAGCCGGGGACATGAGACTCCTGCAGAGAAGACCAGACGTTTGCTCCTGTGAGGCGGGTGCAGCAGGGGGCTGGAGGGGGCTGAAGCGGGAAGAAAGTCCTCAGCTGCGAATGAAGAGGGAGACTTGTTGCTGGTGGTCTGGGAATGAAAGCGAGGTGGGAATTAATTGCAAAAGTGAGAGGGAACAGAGCAAGGAAACCCCCCCCTCCCCCGCCACCGGAGCTGGGCGCTGCTGCAGGGCTGGGGGCACATTACCTCATGTGAGCCTCAGTGGCCCTGTGTGGCCCGTTCAGAGGTGGAGGCTGGAGGCAGGAGCGAGGAACGCAGGGCACCAGGCTTCTGCAGTAGGACGTGTGCCTCTCCAATTGTCCCTCCCAGGGTCACCCTGCTGCTGTCGGGGTCCCCTGTTGGGACAGAGTCTGAGTAGGAAGCATGTCTCTTTCATCCTCCTACACTTCCTGGTCGAGGATTACATTTGACTTGGCATTTGGATTTTCGGAGAGCCTGAGGTGTCCTGGGAGTGCTCCGCGGGATGCAGTATGTGTCCTGTGCAACACATGGTCAGTAGTCAGGTATCCTGACAGGAGGTAGGAATCCATGTTAACAAACTGGGTTTCTGAATGTCTGTTAAAAACCTGTCACTGAGGTTTCTTTTGTTGATATTTTCCTTCCAGATTGCAGACTTGAAAGCAGCCAGGCAGCTTGCTTCTGAGATCACATCCAGGGGAGCCTCTCTGTATGACCTGCTGGGCAAGGAGGTGGAGCTGAGGGTAAGCAGTCTTTGGATGCTTGGATACTTCCTCAGCGAAGCATTTTTCAAGGTTTCCTTTCCAATTCTGCGTTTCCCTGCCCCTCTGACTTCATTAAGCCGTACCTGATTAAATGAGATCTTGTGCGGGAAGTAATACACAGTGTTAGCTGCCATCCTTGCCTCTAGTGGCCAGTGGTCTGTTTTTAGTAGCTGTGCCTTCTAGTTTAGGAATGGCAATTATGTAGCATGTTGCTGGAACTTTCCTCCTTGTGCCCATGGCTAATTTTGCTGAGCGTGGTGCCTTTTCCTGGGGAACTCCGCATTCTTGTCTACAGAGTGCTGCTCTAAGCCCATGGTTCCCAAACCTTGCTCCCCATTGGAATCACATGGGGGCCTGTAAAAACTACGGGTACCAGGTACCGGCTTCTGTTCAGATGTCATTGGTTTGGAATATGACCTGGGCCTTGAGAGTTAGAAGTCTCTGGGTGATTGTAACATGCAGCAGATTTGGGGAGCCCATGACTTTGGCAGTCCCAACCACTCAGCTGGAGTGGATGTTATAGTTGATTTGCAATCCTTGTTTTAGCCACTACCACTCAAGGAGAATGCTTCATCCACTACATTTAAGGAGCTGTTTAAGAAAATGGTTCCTGTAACTTTTACAGAGCTCCTATAGTCCTTTTATTTACATTTTATTTTATTTTATTTTTATTTTTTAATTTACATCCAAGTTAGTTAGCATATAGTGCAACACTGATTTCAGGAGTAGATTCCTTAATGCCCCTCACCCATTTAGCTCATCCCCCCTCCCACAACCATTCCAGCAACCCTGTGTTTGTTTTCTATATTTAAGAGTCTCTTCTGTTTTGTCCCCCTCCCTGTTTTTATATTCTTTTGGCTTCCCTTCCTTTATGCTCAGTTGTATCTTGAAGTCCTTATATGAGTGATGTCATATGGTATTTGTCTTTCTCAGACTAATTTTGTGTAGCATTATGCTCTAGTTCCATCCACGTAGTTGCAAATGGCAAGATTTCATTCCATTTTAAAAAATTTTGGGGGGGCGCCTGGGTGGCTCAGTCGGTTGAGCGTCCGACTTCAGCTCAGGTCATGATCTCACGGTTCATGGGTTCGGGTCCGGCGTCGGCCTCTGTGCTGACAGCCAGCTCAGAGCCTGGAGCCTGTTTCAGATTCTGTATCTCCCTCTCTTTCTCACCCTCCCCTGCTCACGCTGCCTCGCTCTCTCTCTCTCTCTCTCAGAAATAAATAAAAAAAAATTAAAAAAAATTAAAAATTTTTTAACATTTATTTATTTTTGAGAGAGAGAGAGAGAGAGAGAGAGAGAGACAGAGCATGAGTAGAGGAGGGTCAGAGAGAGAGGGAGATACAGAATATGAAGCAGCCTCCAGGCTCTGAGCTGTCAGCTTCTACAAAGCCCGACGTGGGGCTCAAACTCACAGATAGCAAGATCATGACCTGAGCCAAAGTCAGATGCTTAACCGATTGAGCCACTCAGGGGCCCCTCATTCTTCTTGTTTGCCAAGTAATAGTCCATTATTTATACACACACACCACATTTTCTTTATCCATTCATCAGTGGACATTTGGGCTCTTTCCATACTTTGGCTACTATTGATAGTGGTGCTGTAAACATTGGGGTACACCTGCCCCTTCCCAACAGCACACCCGTACCCCTTGGATGAATACCTAGTAGTGCAATTGCTGGGTCGTAGGGTAGATCTATTTTTAATGTCTTGAGGAACCTCCAGACTGTTTTCCAGAGCGGCTGCACCAGTTTGCATTCCCACCAGCAGTGCAAGAGGGATCCTTTCTCCGCCTCCTCGCCAGCATCTGTTGTTGCCTGACTTGTTTTTAGCCATTCTGACGGGAGTGAGGTGGTATCTCAGTGTGGTTTTGATTTGTATTTCCCTGATGATGAGTGACATCGAGCATCGTTTCATGTGTCTGTTGGCCATCTGCATGTCCTCTTTGGAGAAGTATCTGTTCATGTCTTTTGCCCATTTCTTCACTGGATTATTTGTTTTTTGGGTGTTGAGTTTGGTAAGTTATCTATAGATTGTGGATACCAACCCTTTTTCTGACCTGTTGTTTGCAAATAACTTCTCCCATTTTGTTGGTTGCCTTTTAGTTTTGCTGATTGTTTCCTTTGATATGCAGAATCTTTATTTTGATGAGATCCCAATAGTTTATTTTTGATTTTCGTTTCCCTTGCCTCCGGAGACATGTCAAGTAAGAAGTTGCTGCGTCTGAGGTCAAAGAGATTTTTGCCTGTTTTCTCCTTGAGGATTTTGATGGCTTCCTGTCTTAAGTTTAGGTTTTTCATCCATTTTGAGTCTATTTCTGGTAAGAAAGTGGTCCAGGGCCATTTTTCTGCATGTTGCTGTTCAGTTTTCCCAGTACCACTTGCTGAAGAGACTGTCTTTATTCTATTCTGCTTTATCAAAGATTAATTGGCTATACATTTGTGAGTCCATTTCTGGTTTTTCTTTTCTGTTCCATTGATCTGCGTGTTTGTTTTTGTGCCATCCTATAGTCCTTTTAAATCACCTGATGACCACGTTGTCCCCCAAACCAGTGAGTCAGAATGTCTGGGGGTAGGAACCAGGCATCAACTTTTAAAGATCTCCAGGTGATTCCAGTGTGCAGCAGAATTTGGGATCCACTGGTTTAAGAGGAAATAGAGTATTGTTTAACTCTTATGTGTGAAGATGAATGTCATTTGAAGCATACATGCCCACATCTAATGTTTTTGTTTTTATTATTTATTTAAAAATGTTTTATTTATTTTCTGAGAAAGAGAGAGAGAGAGAGAGCATGAGCAGGGGAGGGTCAGAGAGAGAGGGAGATATAGAATCTGAAGCAGGCTCCAGGCTCTGAGCTGGCTCTCAGCACAGAGCCCGACACGGGGCTCGAACCCATGAACCGTGAAATCATGCCCTGAGCTGAAGTCGGACACTTAACTGACTAAGCCACCCAGGCACCCCACATCTAATATTTTTAAATTAAATGTAGTTAATTCATTTCGTTCCCGTCAGGTATGTCAGCCATGATCTCTGGCTGCCTGGTCTGTGTTCTGGCAACAGTACTATAATATAATAGTACTTTTTCTCTTGCTTTTCATTTCTGCTCTAGAAGCAGTCTGGAAGCAGGGGACTTGGGTGCCAGCTCACTGTCCCTTCTCTTGAAGGGAACCACATTAATCTAGTGGTCCCACCTGGTGAAGGGCGCAAACCAAAACTGCCACCCCCATCTAATAGCTCATTTAGATAACAAGGCAGTTCTAGGATTTCTGGGCTTTCTCTCTTTATTCAAATTTTTTAAATTAATTTTTAAAAGTTTATTTTGAGAGAGAGCACATGCACACACATGTTGGGAGGAGGGACAGAGAGAGAGGGAGACCGAGGATCCGAAGCAGGCTCCATGCTGTCAGCTCAGAGCCCGATATGGGGCTTAAAGTCTCAAACGTGAGATTGTGACCCAGGCTGAAGTCGGATGCTTAACCGACTGTGCCAGTCAGGTGCCCCTGTGTTTTCTCTTTATAGTTCAGGAGTGCATGTGTGTCTACACATGATTCTAACAGACCTGGAGACAAGAGCTGGTCACTTGCTAATTACCACAGAGCTGTGGCTTCATTGTGAGACTTGACCCAGGATTCCATTGGGGACGCTTTCCACACCATCCTGTAATGAATTGAATCGGTGGCCAAACTGTTGCTCTGGGAGCCATGAATACGGAACTCCTCAAATTCTGTATATAGTCGTGATCTGAGGTGGATCCCCTGTCCAGTATTTGTTTTTCCTATACTCACTGAGGACTACTACCAGTCACAGACAAGCCACCATGCTCTGTGTCCTTGATCCCTGCCCTCCGCAATCTTCCACAGTGGGGGAGGTGAAAGAAGCTGTAGAGTAAAGGAGGCCCAAGAAAGTTTGGGAATGTTCTGCAGAAACCTCATAACTGCATCCACATTAAAATCCCATGTCTCCGAGAAGTCCCCAGTACTGGTATGATAGGCACAAATGCCTCCCTTGATTGGTTAGCGGTTAATGCAAGGGGAGGGGGCCCAGGGTGATTCCTCTCATTGGCTACAGATGTAAGTGATAGGCAACTTGGAATTAATCATAGGAAAGATCATAGAGGTTGGCAAGGGGTTCAGACAGCAGGTTGAGCTGCACTTGGTTTTGAGTTCCCCTAAATCAGTATAGGTAAAGAAACAAATTTGGGAGAAAAGATGATAGAGGTGAGCTCAGTTTTACCCGTGGTGTAGGCAGGTGGGCCTGGAGGGAGGCCGGGGAGCTGGAGGGAGGCCAGGTAAGCAGTAGGGTTAGGAAGATGTTTAGAAGAGTTGCTGGAAGAAGTGGTTTTGCATCAGAGATCCGCACTGTAATGGAACTTTTGAGAACTAGTTCGTAAGCTGTATCTACATCTAGGAATTGGTTTTGACAATTCCTCTTCTGAAAAGGAACTTCATTTCATTGTTTCTTACAGGAACTGAGAACAGAAGCAATTGCCAGACCTCTAGAAATAAATGAGACTGAAAAAGTGTTGAGAATTGCAATAAAAGACATTCTGGTAAGCCTGTTTGCTTTTATTTAATGTTTTTGTGCCTAGGACTTGAAAGTACTAATTTATTCCCTGCCTCCTTAAGACAGAGCAACCCTAGGCGTGTTGACAGAGAAGGTATATGATAGTGGGGAAATGAAAAATGCAGAGGACATTCTAGGGTATGTAGATTGCTTACTTTTATTATTTTCCCCTTGTTATAAAAATGAAACATTTCTCCCTCAAAATTTGTCAGTTTTAATGATTTCTTAATTCTTATATTCTTCAATACTTTTCATAAGTGGTGGTCTGGTTTATGGGCTCTTTATACTTTATTTAACCAATTCCTCACAGTTGGCATTTAAATGATTTTTCAGGTTTTCCTTTTTTTTTTTTTTTTTTTTTTTTTTTTTGGTGCTGAAACCTGGGCATGGAGATTCCTAAATAGCACCGTAATGAATAGAATGACTGCCATGGTTTACTACTCACCCACTGAGAATTACTTGCTCATCTCATCTCAAGCATTCATTTGGAGGGCAGTAGAGTGGGAGACTGTAGACTTGGATGGCTTTGCATTTGAATTCCACTTTGTGATCGTAGGCTAGTTACTTAACTTCCTTGTGTCTCACTTCCTCATCTGTAAAACAGGGAGAGTGGGAGTGTCTGCCACATGGGGTCCTTCTGTGCATTCATTGTAACAGTGCGTGTCATACACAGCCTGACATATAGTAGGTATTCGTTATTAGTGCTTCGTTTTATTCAGTACATGCAGGCAGGAGAGGCTTATGTAAGGTGGGAGTAGCATAAAACAAGAATTTGCTGAGAGCTGTAAATTTTATGATTGATAAGTTTTTATAATATTCTTGTCGTAAAGCAGTAATACTCCCTGGGTGACCCAGCACCAGGGTTCAGCCTCAGCAGGTGAGAAGGGCAGGGCAGCTGAGATGGGAGGTTCAGTGCATACAGACAGATGGATCAAGTAGGTAAATATATTAATGATGACAGAAGCCAAGCTTCTCACTTTTGGAAGAGAGAGTTAATAGAGATGAAAAAGGAGAAAATGAGAATGAACCCTGAAATTGGAGATGTTGGTTAAATGCATGGTTTTCATTGGGTAGATAGGTAGGTAGCCAGCTATATTCATGTATGTCTGTGTACGTGAGTATATGTCACATACTTCTATACGTATCCACACCCACATACACATTACTTTATTTCTTAGTTCTGAGCACACTTGGCACCCACATCTTGGCTTCTGAATGCCATTCTCCACTAAAAGGCTCCACTAACCAGGGCTCTTGAGGAGAAATACTGAGTCCAGAGCAGGGATGGGAAGGCACAAGATCTTGCTGTGCCAGAAAGCAAGGAAGTGCCCAGTGAATGCATAGGATACAGTCATATCTGTGCTATTCCTGCTAAAGTTGCATGATCTGAAACAGAAAGGCAGGTTGAAGGGCATTCTACAAGTTAACCTGGCTCATATTCTTCACCAGTGGAAAGTATGCGAAAGTCCAGGAAAGGCCGAAGAGATGTGCTGATGGAATGGCAGTGGTGACTTTCGCCTGGTATTAAGGACTTCACGGGGACAAGTGGGGAAACCTGAGGTTCTGAGGACTAGATGGCGGTAGTGCATCTGTGTCCGTTTCATGTGTCATTGATTGTGTAGGAAGTACAGAGGCAAGTATTTAGTGGTGATGGGGCCTCAAGTCAGCAACCCACTCTGACCTAGGCTGGGAGAAAATGCTTTGTATTCTACCCCAGCTGTTGGTAAGTTTGTGATGGCCTCTCAGTTGAAAAGTTTTTAATTGCTACTCAGTGTTCTGGCTGGATCGAGTTAACATGGCATGTATGTGCCTTTAGCACTAAGTATGTATTAGGAATATAATAGCCAAATGAGGGCACAGTTCATTTCCTGGCGAACCCCTCTATGTATGCATGCATGCATGTGTTAGTTATTATTTCCTTTTTCTAATTGAAGTGTGGTTGGCACACAGTGCTACATTAGATTCAGGTATACAACATAGTTGGTGAACACCTTTCTCGTATCTGTTAAGTGTTGCAGAGTATCCATGATATTTGGTAATTCGAAAACCAAAACAAAAACAACAGCATGTTGTTGCTTAAAAAGGGTTATGATTTATAGACCTTTTAGGCTAGGAGAAATTGTGTTTATCACACTGATATTTCTTATTTGAGGAGTACATACCTCTAAAAAATTGTACGTATTCTTTTTTTAGTTTATCTTTTCGAGAAAGAGAGAGATGCAGAAGCAAGTGGGGGAGGGTCAGAGAGAGAGACACAGAATCTGAAGCAGGCTCCGAGCTGTCAGCACAGAGCCTGATTTGGAGCTTGAACTCACGAACTATGAGATCGTGACCTGAGCCAACATTGGACACTCAACTACTGAACCACCCAGGCACCCCAGATTGTTTTTATTCTTGAGGTCAGATAAATTCACTAGGTTTACTCTGACTGATTTAGAGAAATAGTTGCCATCAACTTGAGATTTTTGTTCAGAAACTCTATTTGTCTTCCTGTGAGTGAATTTACATGTCTTTTGGGATTTTTAAAGCACTTGGAGCAAACATCCTATTTCATAAAAATATTTTTATGAAAGCATCTTGGAAGTGATGAGTGTACTTAGTAGGAAAAAATTAAACCATAAATAGTAGAAGTGCTTGCTTCCAAATGTATACAGTCTTTGACACTCACAGAGAGTGTCTGTGCTCCTTAGATGATTTCTTTGTGGACCCCATAACGTTTCAGAGACTTGGAGGTCAATAGGCACTAGGCCGTTGTGGGTTAGGACACATGTGAGGCACTAGTGGGGAGACCCCACCTCAGGCGTGGGGAACGTGAGGCAGAGTTGGGACGTCCTAACTTGGGAGGCAGCCCGCACGCTCAGCAGGCTGCGTTCCGGACGCCGGCCCGCCTGCGGCAGATGGCAGCTCTGAGCCCCAGGCCCAGCCTGGCTGGCTTCCCAGACGAGCGTGAGGCAGCATGTTCGTCCCGACTGCCCTGCGCCAGATGAACTTGTGACACAACAGGGAGGCCTGGGGTTTTGTCCGTGATCTCTTTTTCCCTTCACCTTCTTTCCCAGGCCTCGCTGCCCACGCTCCCCCTCACCCCCAAAGGCTAGGTCTGCTGAGGGGGATGGTTTTGTGCTGCCTTCATGCAGTGGTTTCTCTGCTCTGGTGTGTGGTCGAGGTTTACTTGGTGAGGAGGGAAGAGGGGCCTTCTCTCTCAGTCCCAGCAGGCAGGATTAGGTATGGGACCACCTAAGGTTTCTTTTTTGTCACCTCCTAAATAAAACCATGCTTGTGTGTGCACATATTTTGTGAGTAAGATGTTTGTAACTATGGGAGTAACCTGAGCGATGTAAACAAAGGCAGACTAACAACTCCCGAGTGGTAGGTAGGTGACCAGTCTAAGCAAGTGAGCCGCACAGGAGGCCTTGGGCGCCTCTTCCCTCTGCTCAGGACACTGTTGTTTCCGTCTTCATTTGTTTCCCTGCCCAGAAACCCCATCTTCTCGTAGAAAAAGGACGTTGTTTTTTCTGGGCCCGTGTGACATTCCCTCTGGAACTAGTTGTTTAACTGAGTGATGGCTGGGGGAGGGTTTGCTCTGTTCGCTTACTTTGCTTTTCCGTAGCCCATGTCTCAGTGCGTGTGGAGTCATGAAGTTTCTCTCTCCGAGCCGGGCTGGCATTCATTGTTGGCACCCACCTCACTCACTTCCTGTCCAATGTAGGCACAGGTTCAGAAGACTAAAGACCTGCTCAATAATGTAGCCTCTGATGAAGCTAATTTAGAAGCCAAAATTGAGAAGAGGAAATTAGAACTGGAAAGAAATCGGAAGCGACTCCAGACTCTACAGAGTGTCAGGTAGATATGAACACCTGAAGGATGAGTAGACTGTTGTCTTTGAAAGTTCCAGCAGAGTGAGCGGGCTCCCGGGCAGCAGGGACAGCCTCAAATGGGGCTGCTTCGGCTTCACAGTGTACAGGCTGTGCTCATGGTAACGAGTGCTCGGTGCAGCTCGTCGTCCCCCTGCTTTCTCTGTGCTTGGAGCCTCTGCTCAAGCTTGTACAGCTTCTCGGAATGCAGCGCTGAGTAAGTGAATCCAGATGGTGACAGTTATACGAGGCTCCTCTCCTGGGATCTGTGCCTTGCTGTCAATGAGGGGGAAGCAGAAGAATACCCCCTTTCTCGGTTTGAGTAGACTTCAGACCTTTATAATTTTTACACCAGTAATTCATCTTTCTTTTGGCTTTCCTTCACTGAAAACCCCCTTTCCAGGGAATATGGATGGATAATGGGGGTGCAAAACACCTTCTAGGTCACTGGAGCCTTCCGCGTGTGTTCCTCACGTTTGCTTGGGGCCTGGAGGCACTCATTCCCTCCCTCCCTCCCTCCCTCTTGTTTTGTACCCTCCTTCCCTTGCTCTGTCTCTTTGTCATTTTCTCTACAAGCCACTACTTTCTCCCTTCTCATTCTCCCTTCATTTTTCTCTCTTCACTCCTTCCCCTGTGTAGCTGCTACTGCTGCCTGAATGTCTTGCTGTTGTGAGATACTGGTGACTTGGCCACACTCTGGCTGCTGCCCTGAGACCTGAAGGAAGGCAGCTCCTGGGGACATCAGTAACCCAGGGTGCACCGCATCCTTCCTCCCAGCCATGGGCAAGATCATGTCCTTCCATCTTTGGAATCTGGGCCAGCTGATACATTTGTCTCATTAAAAAATTCTGCTTTTTAAGCATAAATTCAGTTTTGTTAAGTCTCATATCCTTTTAGTGGAAAAGTTTCTGTGTTTTGGTCTAGCCCCAAAGATTATCTATTACTTTTTAATTTATCTGTATTTTTTGTTTGTTTTGTTTTTTAGTTTTTATTTATTTTGAGAGAGAGAGCACGAGCAGGGGAGGGGCAGAGAGAGAGGAGAGAGCCAGAATCTGAAGCAGGCTCCACACTGCCCGCAAGGAGCCTGATGCAGGGCTTGAACGCACAAGCCACGAGATCATGAGCTGAGCTGAGCTGAAGTCGAAAGCTTAACTGACTGAGGAAAAAAAAACAAAAACAAAAACAAAACAAACTTACTGAGCCACGCAGGCACCCCTACCTGTATATTTTTTTATTTTAAGTCTATATTAAAATCTCTGTCAAGGTAAGAAAAAAGATTGCAAAGCCTAATTTAAGGTAATGTACTTAAAGATGTTTAAAAATGCATTCCTAGGGCGCCTGGGTAGCTAAGTCGGTTGGGCATCCGACTTCGGCTCAGGTCATGATCTCCCAGCTTATGAGTTTGAGCCCCATGTTAGGCTCTGTGCTGACAGCTCAGAGCCTGAAGCCTCCTTCTGATTCTGTGTCTCCCTCTCTCTCTCCTCCCTTCTCCCGCTCACGATCTTGCTCTCAAAAATAAATAAACATTAAGAAAAAAACTTTTTAAATGCATTCCTGGGACTCCTGAGTGGCTTAGCTGGTTAAGCGTCCAACTGTTGATTTTTGGTCAGGTTTTGATCCCAGGATTTTGGGATTGAGCTCCACGTCAGGCTCTGCACTGAGTGTGGAGCCTGCTTGGAACACTCTATCTCTCCCTCTCCCACCTTTCTCTTTCTCTCTCAAACAAATAAAAATTTAAAAAATATATTTCTCTCTAGATATAGATCTATGCATAGAAAGGTCTGGAAGGATATTTATCAAGTATTAAGTGCTTATACCTGGTGATAGGATTATGAGTAATTTTTACCTTACTCTTCATACTTTCAAGGTTATTTTCAAGTTTTTACAAAGAGCTTTTGATGAACAACAACAACAAAAAATAAGTATGTTCATTTTGAGGGGAGGGAGGAGGAAAAGGGAAATTAGCTTTAAGCAGCTTCAAGATGAAGACACTCTTCCACTAAAGGCTTTCCACAGCAAACCGTGATGGGACCTGGAGCTCAGCGTACACATGTCCGCTACTGTGTGTTGATGAATCTTTCACTTTTTATATCACTTGGTTGTTGTAGGCCAGCCTTTATGGATGAATATGAGAAGATCGAGGAGGAGTTGCAAAAGCAGTATGACATTTATCTAGAGAAATTTCGAAATCTGGCTTATCTGGAACAACAACTTGAGGACCATCATAGGATGGAGCAAGAGAGGTTTGAGGTAAGCGCTTAGCCCGCTTCTCTGCACAGACCATCCTTCTGGTGTGTGATTTTGTACTTTTTGACATGTCAGTTTGTAAATACCGTTGTGGGGGGTGGGAATCTGTGGATGTTCCTTCTCCCTTGATCAAGTCTGTGGATTGCTCATGTAGCTCTTCTGTTTTGCTGGTAGCGTCGCCTGGGTTCCAGGGTGGTCGGATCTCTGATGGGTTTGGTCCATTAGGACTGCAGGCGGGGCCACCATGTGACCTGTGCAATCACACAAGACTTAGAAGGGCCGGGGCTTGCTTTAATGCGTGCTGACACTGGCTTGGAATTCTTAATAATTCCTAAGTGCATTTTAATTTGCACTGAGTTCCATGGAATAGGTAACTGGTCTCGGGTAGATTTCTAAAAACTTGCTTGGTCGGTTCACTGAAAGATTTTCAGGCCCTGCTTAATTGAATCATCCAAAGTAGTTTATCAGGCACTGCTTTATAAAGAGGAAATGCGGTTTATTGATTATTGTGGGAAGTGTGTGTGACCTAGAACAAGCGGCCATCCAGGTTCCTTTCATCCCAAATGTTCAAGGCTGCTTAGCAAAGAGTATTTCAGGTCCCAGCATGAGCTGGTAAATACGAATTTCAGAGCAAAGGAAAATGGACTAAGTTACACTCATTTTTTGAATTGCTACTATCCTTTGGGGATATTTCTGCTTAACCCAGGAATGGTCACTTGGAATCTGTGCTCATGCTGAAATTGGTCTGTACTCTCCTTTTCTCACACTGTCCTTGACAGCTTTGGTGTAAAGGTTATGCTACCTTCTTACAAACCTGGGTGTTTGAATGTGGTGTGCCTGTTTGGTTGTACAGGATGCTGGCGAGGGGTAGCCGATGCTTTCCTATGGGAACGTTTATCTTGACAAGGAGCCGTTGCCACCACTGCTCTACCGCAGGGGCAACGGGGGTACAGGACAGGCACGTTGTAAGGACAGCGTCTGGGGAAGAGTAGAAAAGCGCCCGTGAAAGCACAATGAGTGTTCTGCGGTGTCCTGCGGGGCGCCCCGGGGGTAGAGGGTGTGCTGGAGACGCGGCTTCGGGACGATCGCGCTTTCCTCTGCTCACACCGACTCTGTGCCCATCACACCTGCTCTCTAAAGAGCTCGTGCCAGAAACCGTGCTTGCTGCTCAGTGTTTAGAACAACACTAGAATTTTAAAAGCCAATATCCTCTCCCATTCTCTTTTGACAATCAGGGCCACGTTTTGTCACCTAGATGAAGTATTAGCTTTTGTCCCCCTAGGAATTAGACTGGTATTTATTTCTTTGCTCTTTTCATCCTCATCAGTCTCACCATTTAGCATCTTTTGGAGCTCGAATAGCACAGAGCAGAAAAACAATAAAATTCATGCTTTATTTTTTGAGAGCAGGAGGCCCGTACTGTCCCATTCTCGGTGCGTCTGTCCCCGTGTCGACATTGCATGCAGACACAGGCATTTCACTGCCTTGTTCCATTTTCTTCAGGGCTTCGAGGGCTGGTCTTGCCGCTTCGGACGGCCTCCCCTCGCTGGGCTGCTGGCTGCTTCCGGAGGGAGGGGGCCTTGGGATCCCGGCCCTGTTTCTCTCAGGCAGCGCTCGCTCTCTCTGTGTACGTTACATCCGTGCTGGGTCTGTGTCACACACTCAGCCCTGCTTACCCTTGTGGTGGAGAATAATAAAACAGTCCACAAAAGGGTGATCTCTTCTGAATTGTGTTCTTGCTGTTCTATAGGAAGCTGAGAACACGCTGCGTCTGATGCAGAACAAGCTGAAGGAAGAAGAAAAGCGTCTGCTCAAGAGTGGAAGTAAGACCGCATGTGTAGACAGGGTTGTTTCTTCTGGACCAGCGTTCTTAGCCTTGACAAACTTATACACGTATTTAATTTATTTTTAAAAGGCAATCTTCTCAAAAATTCTGTATCAGTTACCGTTTTAATTCACTCGAGCTCAAGAGACTGCTTCAAATTACAGAACATTTAAAGCACATTTGATTTTCTTGTCAACTAAAATAGTGTTATTCCCTGTTTAAATCACACAGTTAGTTTGAGTTACATATAATATGTAACTATAAAAGGAAATGTGGTCTTGGAGGTGTATAGGGCTCCTTGTTTTAAGTCCGATAGAGGCGTTGTAACACAGTGCACGTGAGTGGGTCACTTGCTTAGAGTTCGTCCCCTACCGCACACACCCATTATGTGTCCCAAGTAATCCAGAATTGTCCAGTGAGGCTGTCATCTGGGAGCAAGGGGGGCTCCCTGTATGTGAGAGCTAGATGCTGGGGAGGAGTGTTCTCTGTGACTGGTTAGCATGCTTCATCCATGAACTTCAGTGAGGAGTCAGGGCAGCCTCAGGAGCAGTAGCAGCACAGAGACTTAATGCTGAATCGATGGCTTTCTGAGTTCCTCCTCCTCCTCTTGCTTATTGCTTTTTTTTTTTTTTATGATGAAATACTTTATTTTCTCGTGCTTGAGGATACTCTGTGTGGGACTTCGGGCACGTTCTCTCTCTCTCTCTGTCTTCAGACCTCTCCCCCTTTGTACTTGTTCTGTGCCTCTCCCTAATTTCCCCAAACTCTCGAAGGAGAATAGGGACTCCTGGGGAAATCCTTTGGGGCAGGTTTAGGAAAGTGCAGGGGCCTCTCTAGCCAAAGCACCCCCTTACCTTTATGGTTCCAGGTCAGCCAGGAGAGCCCGAGGCAGCCCTAAGTGATAAGCCTGCATGGAGTTTATCCCCTCCCGAGAGGCCCAGCACAGGTAAGAGGCCTGACTGGTGGCTGCACCCTGCTGTGTACCTGGGCCAACACGTAAGACGTCACTGAGCTTTATTCTTCTGAACTCAGGCTTTAATTCTGTGATCCACAGGTTTGGGATCTCGTGAAGGACAAACATTCTTAGGAGCATCTATGACTTAGCTTTTTTTGGAAAAATAATTTCCTGTTTAAATCAACTTACTGAAGGATAGCACTTACGTAGCTTGAGGGCAAAGAAGTGAGGAAAATAAGAAAAAAGTTGTTAAGATGTTCTTTCTTTGCTTTTCTGTGTATGTGGGAACATTGGTCAAAGAGTTGGGATCAGCAGGGAGTTAGATAAAGGGAGACTTTCTGAAAGACTTCTCTGAACAGGAAAGCCAAATAGGATATGGCCACAAGTTAGGGGCAAGAATGAGCAAAATCCAAGAGCTGAAAGAGATCGTCTTGTTTAGGCCACTCTGCAGACAGCTGATTCAGTGCAGTAAAGCATTGTTGAGTATTCTGGGTGTGAAGAAGGGTTTCTTAGTGGGCAAAAGACAGGGATCCTGGGGTCCCTCCGTTGCTCAGGCCATTAAGTGTCTGACTTGAGCTCAGGTCGCAGTTCCCAAGTTCAAGCCCTGCGTTGGGCTCTGTGCTGGCAGCTCAGAGCCTGCTTCTGATTCTGTGTCTCCCTCTCTCTGCGCCCCTCCCTCACTTTTGCATGCAAGCTCACTCTCAAAAATAAATAAAAACATTAAAAAATTTTATTAGGAAAAAAAGGGGAATCCTTGCTTTAACCAAGCTGCTTGCCAGTGAGAGAAAACAGTGAGCAAGCTATGTGTGGAAGATGTAAAAAGCCATTTAGGATAAAGTAGAGCAGAGAGGGGGACGGTGAGGGTGTGATGGAATTGTGTTTGCTTTTCTTTTAATACTTAGAAAGAGAGAGACAGTGTGCAAGCAGGGGAGGGGCAGGGAGAGATGGAGACAAAGAATCCGAAGCCAACTCTAGGCTCTGACTAGAGTTAGCACAGAGCCCAATGTGGGGCTCAAACTCATGAGCTGTGAGCCAAAGTGACCCAAGCCAAAGTCATACACTTAACTGACTGAGCTACCCAGGCACCCCATGTTTACTTTAAGTTTATTTTTTTATTTTTGAGAGCGAGAACATGAGTGGGGTAGGGGCAGAGAGGGAGAGAGAGAATCCCAGCCAGACTTTCCCCATTAGCACAGAGCCCAATGCGAGTCTCAAAGTCACAAACCGTGAGATCATGACCTGAGCCGAAATGAGAAGTTGGATGCTCAACTGACTGAGCCACCCAGGCTCCCTGGAAATGCGTTTTCAATTTGGGGTCAGTGTCAGTGTAGGCCTCATTGGGAGATACTTTTTTTTTTTTTTTTTTTTTTCTAGGAGAGAGAGAGAGAGACAGTGTGAACAGGGGAGGGTCAGAGAGAGAGGGAGTCACAGACTGAAACAGGCTCCAGGCTCTGAGCTGAGAGTCAGCACAGAGCCCGACGCGGGGCTCGAACCCACAAACC